GGCCAAGGAGGTGGACCCAGAAGAGTGGACTAGAGGAGGCCTGACTTAAAATACACTCAACTGGTTGACGCTGGGGCCAGAGGCCCACTGCAAGGGACACCCACAGCTGACTGCCTGGGGTTTTTGACTGGCCTTGGAGGTGAGACCAGGGCCTGTATGGCCAAAGGTCCTGGGGGGACCACGCCCAAGAGAGGAAATAGTTCAGGGAGTTAGGCAGCCCAGAATGAGTGCAGAATAGGCCGCCTGAGTGGAGGGATCTTGTAGGGGTCTAGACTAGAGGATTCTGGGGCCCAGTGTGGGGCCGGTGAGGTTAACATCTGTGGATGCCATCTACGAGGCTTGGGCTGTGGTGTAGAGGAGGAAGAGAGCCACAGATGGTACCTCCTGGCATTGGTGCAAGAAATGGGCAGCCTCCCACCTAATGAACAACTTCATTAGATATCATCAAGGCATGGCAAATGAGAAAGCAGGTGGTTGGCCCAGAAACAGGTGGGCAGGCCAATGGCAGATTGGCCTGGGAAGGCCCTATGCAAGGTGGAAGATACACAACAAGTCCTACAAATGTAATCCCATGAGGGGCTTGGGGGAAAAAGTTTCAATCTGGTTTTTGTCACTGACAAGTGTTTTATGCTCAGCCCCTGGAAGGACTACACAGCTTTGTACTTTCACCATTTGTTTTTAGTATCTGTATAATAAAGGCTTACAAAAGTTTTTTTTTGTTTGTTTTTGTTTTTTTTTAAAGCCAACTTTCTCTCCCCTCCCTTCCCCACTCCCTCCCACAACACAGGAACTGGTACACTCTGCCCTATTCCTCTCTCCTGAGGTCTTCCCACTTTCTTTCTTTTCCTCCCTACCCCCCCAATTAAATCATGTGGGGCTGCAGAAGCTACTCAGTGTTGAGGAAAGAACTAGGGCTATGAGAAGCTTCGGTAGCCAATTCAATTTGGACAAGATTTGGCCCAATTCAGGGACTGAATCTTGGAATCTGAATCAAATCAGACCAATTAAAGCCTCCAAAACTATTTGAAGCATCTGAATCGATTTGAAAAAGATTTGGCTGCTTCTGAGATTCAGCCATAGACTAAACAGGCTAAATATTCAGCCATAGAATAAACAGGCCCAGCTGCCTCCCGCTGGTAAGTCTGTTGGGGTTGGGGGAGAGAAAGGGCATGGGGGAAGGAGGGATTGGGGCTGGGGCGTTACTTGGGGAGGGGGGTGGAGGGGGATGTGGGATGCAGGTGCAACAGTGCTGGGAGTAGGGGCTATGCCCTGCTACTGTCCAGAGCGAGCTGCGCTTGCATTGCACCCTGCCTCCCTGCACCAACTGGGCAAGCGGCAGCAGGACATAGACCCCGTGGCTCCCCATACTGGGGCAGAGGCAGGCACAGCCAGAGGAGCTGTGGGAGAAGTCCCAATGGCTGCCTTGCCTGGCTGCATCCCCCAGCTAGTCCAGCCTAGTCCCAGCACT